TGAGGCTGCCAGAGCTCCAGGAGCCTTTGGGCAGTGCTGCCAGGGATGCCCAGGGTGGGGTTGGTGGGGGTCTGGCGCTGAGGCACCCCTGTGGATCACTCCAGCTAAGGATATTCTGGGGTTCTATAAAATGAACTTTTCTGCAAAGATAGTTCATTAGATTCAGATAATCAGATAATGCCTCTTGCCCAACTCCTTTTTTGAGATGGACAGTGGGAATGTTTGCCACAGGAAAGTTTATTAAATTCCAAGTTAACAACTCTCACTTCTTTATTACTATGTGACCTTGCCTCAGTCCTCCACACAAGAGCAAAACAAAAAATAAAAATCACATCACCAAACAAAACCAACAAAACCCACCAACCAACCAAGAACCTATCCAAACCTCCCCATGTCAGCCTGAAGTGCTGTTTGTAGAGCATAAATTAAAAACTTGAAAATGCTCAAGGTACACAAACCACTGAGCAAAAAGCCCCAGAGCAATCCCAAACTCCTGCCAGCAGAATCTCTGCTTTTCTGTTCTGCCTCTGGAACTGTACTCACCCAGCACTGCAGCCACCTGTGTCTGAATTCCCAAAAATGAGAAATGCAGTAATTATAGCCTTCAGCAGCTCAGCAACCCTCCACAGCCAGAAATTTTACAGCAAGGACCAATCCCACAAGAGGAAACACTCAGATGTGACTTTTTAGCCTTAAAAAATCTAGTCATTTACTCAAGATCTGAGACTGGCACATAAAAATCCCTTTGCAAGTCTGCAGTATAAATATCTACACTTTAAAAAAGCAAATCATATTTTGACTGAACAGTAGTTCATCACAGATCTGTTTTGTAATAAATATTTTTTCAAAATAATCTTGAAAACCAACCCAAAGCAGAAACTGCTTCTATCAGCATCAGCTTTGGCATTAAGAACACTTCAGTGACCCTGGAGTAGATACATATAAAATAATTCAGAATTTATAGACATATATATATATATATGGAAATTATTTATGTCTTTCAGAACTGGAAATAAAAAAACTCTAACTTTTCCCCATAGCAATGCTTACATATAACCAGCTCCATTTTTAGATTATTTACTTCTGTGGCCACTTCTGGATGTAAAATCAAGCAGAGAAAATATTTAACAATTCACAACAAACGCACAACTTGCCAGAGGAGCAGCTCCAGGAAGCACATTTTCATCTCTGTGAAACTGATTTGATTTTAGGCGCAGTCACAGCCTTCTTAGCAAGAACAGATTTGCCAGAGGGAGTTTTATTACCTGGGTTGCACTGCAGCTCTGTCCCGAGGGCTCCGGAGAGCACTTCCTCTATTTTCTGCACTATCTGATCACTCTGACAACTCCCAGCAGCTCCAGAGGCTTCGGAAGGCCCGGCTTGCTCAGCTGGGATCGTGTCACCATTGGGCTGGCCTTCCACATTTGCACTAACCAAAGAAAAAAAACAAAAGCAAAATAACTTAAAAAATCAATTTAATACAAGCGGTTTTAAGCCCTTTTTCGAACATTTTTTGTTGTTCACATGCATTTATTATACCCAGCTCTTCAGAACAGTATTCTAGTCTCCTGAAAAAGGCGTGCTCTTAGGGAAAAATCTGCCTTTGGATTAATTCTCACTTATTTAGCCCCGACACTTTGTGACTGCTGAGGTTGAGACGCAAAATAAGAAAAAAAAAAACAACTACATTGTGGAATGTGCCACATCCCCCGTGCTCGTACCTTATAGGGGTTTCCTCCACAAAATAAATACACATAATGCGCTCTCTGACAGCTTTTCCTTGCTCTTTCCAAGGTTTTCCTTCTTTTACGAGAAAAACTCGGCAAATTTAGCCGTAAATCAGACAAACCATACAGGCGCCTGCCCCTACGGGAGGACAGCACCGAAACCGAGGAGAGAGCGAGTGGTCGCGTCCCACCACCGTCTTCTCCCGGGCCCCGGGCCGTGCTTCCCTCAGGGCGCCCGCACGGCCGCGACCCCCCCCCGGCCCCGCCATGTTGCCGCCGACACGACCCTCAGGCCGCGGCCCGTCTCTCTCCGCCCGGCGCCCTTCCCCGGCGCTCCCCACCGCCCCGTTACCCGCCGTGCTGCTGCTGCTGCTCCTCCTGGATCTCCCGGAATTTGCTGACCACAAAGGACCGAAGGATCTCCTCGATATTCGTCGCCATGACACCCCCCCCTTCCTTCCTGCCCCGACGCGAGGCCTCCAGTATCCCACAGCGCACCGCGGCCCCGGGCGCGCGCTGACGTCCCCGCTGTAAGCCCCCTCGCGATTGGCTGCGTCTGCTGTAAGCCCTCTCGCCATTGGCTGAGGCGGCGTGTGGCTGCGAACGGCCGCTCTAGCGCGGCGCACGGGCCATAGAGCAGCGGCGGGTTCCGCGGGAGGGGGGGGAGGAAGGTCTCGTGTCCCCTCAGCCGCCGCCGCCATGTTGTGGCGCTCCCGCCGCCCCCCCGCGCTCCGCGCCCGCCGCCGCCGCCACCGGCAAAGCCGCCCCGAGCGTGTCCCCGTCCCCCGATGAAAGCACTAAACCAGTCCTCGGCGCTCCGCGCCCACACGGCCGCCTCGCACAGACCCTTCCCCACACAGACACACCGCCCCGCCGCCGCCACTCGCGGCCCCTCTGGCGTCCCGTACGCCGCGTCCGAGCCCCCGCGGCCCCGCCGAGGGCAGGAGAAGCACCGCGGCGTCCCCCACCGCCGGTCCCGTCCCCCGCGCTCCCGCGCAGCCTTCCCCGGCGCCGCCGGATCCCCGCGGCGGCCGCTGCTTACCCGGCCGAGGCCATGGCGGGCTGAGGCGCGGCTGCGATCGGGAGAGATTCCATCGGTGCCCATGGAGCGGGGCCGAGCCCCGCGTGTGCTCCGGGCGGGCGGGCGGCGGCTCTCAGGGGGCTCTGCCCGCTCACGGGCGGCGCTGCTGCCGCTGCCGCTGCCGCATCACCACGGGGCCCTCAGCCCCGGCTCCATGCGAGAGGCGCCCGCCCGCGCTCCCTCCCTCCCCCTCCGCCCGGCGGTGACACGCACATGTGCTCCGGGGGCTGGCAGCGGGGCCGCGAAAATTAAAGGAACAAAGGGGGGGAACCGGAGGGAGGTGGGTAAATAAAGTGCGCCTTTTGCCCGCCTGGGAAGTCGGAGATTTTCTGGCGGTGATGGAACGCACCGAAATGAGTTTGTCGAGAGTACAGCCACATTAGGGACCGCTTCATTGCTGCCCCTGATGCCCTAATAAAATCAAAATTTAATCATATGGGTGTTTAAACAGGCTGTAAAAACGAAAAATCCTATCGACGACTATCCCCCCCCACAGTTTCTGTAGCAGTAACTTAGGGGAGTTAGCTGACCTGAACTAGTGAGTGGCATCCCCAAGGAAAATTGTTTAATTACTGCTGGGGTGTAAAAATTTTCACCGTCAACAGTTTCATAATCACTTGAAAGACCCCTTAAAAGCAGCATCATTGTTTATTGTTCTGCTGATCTGCCTTAATACTGACTTTAGAGAAAAAAAATCACTGACTTGGATCAATTTGCTTACATTTTTGTCATGCTTGATTTATTCCACTTAAAATATAAAGTAGTTACACTTAAGAAGTTCTTTTACTTGTTCATGCCATGCACACATTAATATATATGTTAGATTTACTGGTAGAACACAATGTAATTTTTTATATCAAAATAAAGACTGAAAATGTTTCAGTTGAACAATTTCAGATATATTTACGTTCAGCTGATGCAAATGGCCTTGTCTCAACCAGGCATGTCAAAAACATGAAAAAAGGTGCCCCAAAAAGGCCAGAGAAGGACTTTAGTGTGTGCTGAATGTTTCCCTCTGACTGCACAGAAACAAAATGAATGTGATAATTACAAAAAGTCACTCCTCGTATACATGAGGATCCACAGCCCTACTGGAAAATAACTGTTCTTGCTCTCTCCATCTCTGCTTGCTGAATAAACTCCCTTTACTTAAACTCTTTTATTCAGTTTCAGTGTCAAATGGTTTTCAGATTAATTAAATATTTTATTTTCATCAAGACCAGTGATTGTTGCTGGTACTGCTCAGTTAGTAACATTAGTATGACATTAGTATTACATTACTAATAGTAGTTCTGCTACTATCATCAATACTACTTAGAGCATTTATTCGTGCAACTCTTCCCTTTCAAAACAGGAGTCTAGTCTGGGGTGTGCTTAAATATGCAAAAAATAACATTAAACCTTATTTCCTAAGATATTTTACAAAAAACCCCACCAAAAACAGTGATGTTCTCACATTATAGCTCTTGAAGGGAGAAAAACCGTGGATCAAATCTTGTTTTTATTAACGGTTGTTGCTATTGGACACGAAATGAGTACACAGAAGCTTGGTAAGTTCAAAAGAGAAAAAGAGCTAGTTTTATTCAAACATGTGGTATTTATAGAATTCCAAAGGTGACTGTTTTGGTTTGGAGGATGGAATTACTACCTTTCCAATCACACTGGTCTAAAGATCAATCAATCATTTCTCTCCACCCACAAATATATAAACTATTCTATTTATGCATGAAATTGTGTAGGAACTTCCGACTCTCAATTATGTAAACATTATCAGAAGGCTAAAGAAGTTTTATGAGAACTTTAAAACTTTCAAAAGAACTATAAAAGAAAACACTTTTAAAAATCAGGGCAACAAACAGCATTGTAGCACAACTATGATGCTACATTAGACTAAACATTGCCCAATACTCTTTGCTTTCATAAAGCAAGAAGTTCAAATGTGGGACAAACTGAGTTGCTCCTATGTGGTATTTCAAGGGATATAGAGACAAAACCCACCTTTGCACAGCCCTCACAGACCACCCCCTCAGGCGATGGATAAAGTAAAAACAACCTGCGCATCCCTAAGGTCTTTCGGTCTCCTCTCTCCCTTCCCCACCCGCCCTAGACTTGCGAGATGTCTGTGCTAAAGGAAACTCGGATACCCCCACGGAGACATAGACCAGATTTCCGTCGCTCCTCCCCGCGCGGTGCTCGCTTTGCGCTATTTCCGGAAGGTTTTCTCCCACCCTCGAGTCCTCTCTGGAGCACAGTAAGTCACCGAAGTCACGCGTTGGCGGCGGCCGCGGCTCGCTGGGGCGTGCGGCTGCCGGTGTCCCGGAGCTCGCGGTGCGCCGGCGCTGCCGCTGCCCGCGGGCGCGGGGCGCGGGGGGCGGCCCGGGGCCGTGTGCGCGGATCCGCAAAATGGCGGGGCGCTCCCTCCTCACGGGGCATCCCCCTCACGGCATCCCTGTCATGGCTTGGCCCTCACA